GGGCCGTTCTGGCATTTTTCGGGCCAGAACACTACGTCACCGGAGCGTTCTGGCTTTTTCTTCGCCAGACCACCAAGGTCGCGTTCACTGTCCGGCTGTTCCATCACACTGTGGTACGCCAAAGCACCTGCCAGATATTCTGACCGAGGATAAGGGCGCTTGCACTCGCAATTCTCGTCAACAGCCGACGTCAAAGGTACTAGCTATTCTTCCATAGCACATTCAACTGCGTCCCTCCGTCTGTGCATCTCCGGGATGAAAACCCCTCCTTCGCCTTTGGCTCAGCACTGTACCGCACCACGGCACCAAAATCAACAACTCAACCGACCGTTGTCATCCATCCGCTTATACTCTCGCCCAAAGATCCCTCCCTCCCCGTCAGGTCACCAGCGCCGTTGCTTTTCCTGGACCCCTGGGCCCGAATCGAGCGCGACAAAGCCCCTGCTGACTCAAGTCTTTCTCCTCCTCGATCAACACCAGCAGCGCCAGCTGATGATCTCTACCGGAGACTGATGGCCGACAAGGCTCTCAACCCTCTTCTGTCGCAAATCTCGTACTCGAAAGATTCTCTGCATCCAGAGCATCCGAATTGTCGACCGTCGTCCCAACATTGTTGCCTGTCATGGCACGAGACCATCACAAAAGTCATCCCGGTAAATCAGCATCTCCAGCCTCCAACACTTTCGGATTATGCATTCCGTCCGCTGACTTGCTGTCCACAGATACGCACAAGACGATCTCATTCAACCCCAATGACTTAGGTTCGAAGCAGGAGGAGACGAGCAAAATCACGAATCACCGAGTGCACGCCACAAACCCCATCTCCACCCGGCTCTATGTCGATTGCAAGCAGGCGGGCAACAACTTCTACCAGCCGACATGCAAACCGGAGTACACATGGAGATGGGCGACGAGATTGCTTGGGAGGCTTGCGTCAAAGAAACGCATTATCGCGCCTCCCCGAGTGGGAATTTGGCAAGAGAATAACATGTCGGTGTGGAACCAAGGCGTGACGGTCATCGCGTCGTCGAGTTTACATATGCTCAGGATGGCTCGTCCGAAATTACCGGCAGGGCCCAAAAAGAGGATCCACGCATGGTCGCCAAACATCATGGAGACCTCGGATATATATCTGCCTTTCCGATTACGAGAGCCATGTGAGAACCTAACCGCATAGATGTTGCAGCAAAATACCGCCCTCTGGTGCTTTTGCAGAGATTAGTGAAAGGCGGGCATGACCGACCTGAGAAGGACAGACGCGCCGACCTGGACGTTATCCACGAAAGGCGCATTGACTTCGGCCTCGACAGGGACAACGTCACATTCTGGATCGGCTACCTCGCCTTGCGTGCTTGAATGGGCTCAATGCCTACCACAATGGTGCGGCTGGGCCCAATTCTGGCTCTGTTTGCCAATTTATCTGCAGATGGGTCTGAGCCCAGGCTGAAATGTTGCCTCGCAGTGATGTAGCACTGCGTCAAGCTACGCTTCGGCCATCAACATCTCGACTGCGAGTAATGCCTGATTCGGGTAGCCTACGGCCACCTTCCGGCCATATTCCGCAAGGAAGACAGCCAGAACACCTCAGATTCTCAACACCTGAGGTCGGGGGACTCGTTTCGTGATACTTGATGTAATGAGCTGCATGCTGATGCTACCGTCCAGCCCTGGACAGACAGGGACTCCGAGAGATTGCCAGAGCGAGGGCTATCGGCAACAGAATGGTAACTTAACCAATGTCATATTCCATGGAACCCGATCATCTCAGGTCTGGTCTTTGCTCCTTGAATTTCTCTGCCTGATGTGGAGACCTAGAAACAATAAAGAGTTGAGACAAGGAGGCCGCTGTCCAAGTTGTGTCTACAAAAGCAGCGCCTGGGCGGAACACAGCAAGTTCACCTGCTCAATTTATGGCCTTGAAATTCAGTTCATTCAACCCTGCAACTGATGATGAGAAACTCCATTTTCCACTTCATCTTGCCAACTAATGACGTTTGCGTACTTGTTCGATGTTGAGATCGTCGGGGACCTTATGCACGCATGATTGCAGCCTTGAAGGGCTCCATTTTGAGCATACCAATTGTTGTGGCTGCATTCTGCATGTTAGCACATTGTCTGTATCCACGGGTGGACAGCTTTTGCATCGATGCAACAACATCGTCAGGCAGCCCATTAGTACCGGTAGTCCGCGCATGACTGATCTGTGGCGACGGGTTGGATCTTCATTAGCTTGAGATTGCTGTAGTCATAATTTCGATGGATGATGATGCCGGACGGACCACTCAGTACAAACGTGGCGATTTGCAGTAACTGCGAATTGCGCGGTGAACATGTGAGGGGCGTGTTCGAGGAGCAGGTCACCGTCAATGGCAGGATTTATTCTTGGTGTTGACCAGTGCGACCGGACGATGACAGACTGTGGATGAACCGTCGACCAGAAACGGAAAAATTGTGCCCATTGAAGCACTCTGAGGAAAACCCTTCTCATCGTGGATTCTGCTCTTTGCCTGTCGATACCTCACACAGCCTTCAGCCCAACGGATAGGGACCAAGCTTTCGTCGATTCAACCAAACTTTCAGCGACCGACCTTCCTTCCTTCCATTTCCTTCTTTGTTGGCGCAACCATTGCCTTCAGCCAAATTACATGGCTCGTCCGAAGCTTCTCGTGTCTCATATCATTGGCATTGCCTCCGCTAAATACAGCATTTTTGACCATCCGACTTCCGAGGAGTCTATGTACCATCAGCCATTCCTCCATCATGTTGGCGTATCACCACCGCCGGCTTGGAATGCAGACTATCGGACTTAACGCCGAGACACCTTCGAGTCCGTAGTCAAGGAACATCGAGTACCCGAAAAGGCTCGTTGTCATCGTCAAATGCACGGAGAAGTACCGCTGTGTGGGGGGATCTCAAAGCTCACATCAATTCCCGCAAAGCTGAGGCCAAGGTATCCAAAGTGTCATGACTCTCGACAACCGGAAACTCGCCAATGCCAATGTCTCCATCACCACTATCTACGGGACCCACGGAAACTCTGACGTCCCCGTCAATATGAAGCGTACCCCAGACATGGACTGTTGGCGCCGGCTTCTTGCGGGCGAAATCGCATGGAATTTGGACATGATCCACGTGGTAGATGAGATCAAGGCTGGAAACGATATGCCGACATGGATAGCTACAGTGTCTGCCGTTGTACTGTCAAGATGACAACACCACCACCTCAATTATACCCAACTCTAGCGCCACGTCCGAGCTCCTCAGGATCGCATCTGTCCCGATGGCGAACTCAAATAGCATTTGGGCTGGGTGTCTGTCATTGGCAGCTCTGCGCAAGTGTTCAATTAGCTTGAGATCTCACACATGGCTTGTAGTCATGCCGGCATGTTTGCCATCCTGAAGGAAGGAGAATGAACGGCTGACGCATAAGAAAACGAGGAAATGGTTCCTTGAAAGCTCATTCGGATTCCGAAGCTCTTCCACGCATATTCCCCATCTTTCTCCCGCGCCAAGCTGCGGACCTATTTGACCACCACTCCGCTGGTAGACATTGATCGGATACACTTGTTTTCAAGCCGTCGGCCTCCTCTCGGGTTGCCGCAAAGCTCTTTGTGGACCGAGCCTTGAACTAGAGCGTGGCCCGGTGGCTGAACAAGGCCAAAGATTTACTGTCTTCCAGCGGACTCCTGTTAGTGCTCGGGGCTACAATGATATTCATTCAGAAGTTGTAGAGTCTGTGCATCTTGCTGATACACGGGTGCTGACTTGCGTCTGACGCGGTGGGCCTCCACCTCGACGCACATCTGGGTTGCCTTCATCATGTCCCAAATGGGCTTTTCAACATGGACGTAAGTGGCGATCGTCGAGATGAGATGCTTCGGAGGGACGGTCCCACTAAATGTAAACTGACCCTGTTCTGGATCAAATTCCCCTGCTGAAAGGGCTGCTGCGTCGCCTCTTACCTGCTGGTCTGGAGCCTGGCGGCTTCGACGACGAGTTGGCTGGTGAGCTGTCGATCAATCAACGACCGCTCCACATCGAGTATGTAGGAAGGTGTTCCATTTCCTCGCAATTCTGCAACAACAATATTTGGTGAATCAGATTGTGGCTATCGTCTGGGATTCGTGGCATTACAGAGAAACCGAGGAGACATTAATCATTGGCGGCGCAGTCTGTGGGCGATAGATTCACGGGACAGGCTAACAAGGGATCTAGGATCTCATGGCGATGATACTCTAATATTAACGGGGATTACGTGTAGAGAATAGACTCTAGGGGAAGGGTTGATTAATAGTGAACTCAGCGTTGAAGACACCTATTGTTTCAGTAAAGATGACACAAGCCGAGAAAATCAGGGATGGTCTCGAAAGGACGACGCCTGAGGCCTAAAGCGGGCAATTAACGAAGCAAGACCGTATAATTATCATGATCAATGCTGCAGACAATAGTAAAGACGGCTGTAATATATCGCGAAGGGCCCGCAGTTGTCTTCGGGTGGATTATCTGGTTATTCGGGGCGGCCCCTTACGGTCAAGAAGCGCCCAATTTAAGCCTTGCAATCTAACAACCCCGAGCTGGAGAGCAAGCGCGCAGCAGAGCATAATTCGTCCGTGTTACTTCCTCAAATATCCATAATGAACAAGAGAAAAAGGTGGTTGCTTAATTGTATGCGATTGTTGAGTTATGTACATGGACAATTGGGTAAGTATTTCCCGAACCATCGCAGGTTCGGCGGCTTGTGAGTATCCGAGCCCCACATTCGCAGACTTAGCTACACATTTGGATGAATATTTCCCGAACCATCGCAGGTTCGGTGGCTTGTGAGTACCCGGAACCCACAATCGTAGACTTACCTACTGCTAGATGCTGCCGGTAATTTTAATATAAGACCGGAAAGATGGTTGAGTATTCTTAGCTCGATTTCTTGTGTCATAGCTAAGTAAAAATAAATCCTTCGCGTCGATTCCCCTGATTCCTCAGCACCGCAAAATCTTCACAATATGTCCGTCCCTGAGTTTGCCACGCCTGAGGTCTGTCACAGATGTGAGGTGGTGGATGGTGTCCTGCGTTATCCTCCAGTTGGTACTAGTGTATTGGTGGTTGGGGGTGGGCCTTGCGGTTATATGACAGCTCTCGAATGCTGGAGAAAGGGTCTCGATGTCCGTGTCGTCGAGAAGGCTGACAAGATTACGGTGGTTGGCAAGTTTACACTGGGCTATGTCAACTTGGGGATCGCAAAACTAACAGAAGTGACAGGAGACTCGTTTCTTGTCGGACCATCGGGCTTGGCAACTCTAAAATGCTACCCCAGCATGCTGCAAGAATATCATGACGGGAAGATTGCCTGGGACAACTTCTTATCCTTTCGCCGGCTCGATGGTGCTCCCCTTATGCCCCCTCAGGAGTTGGAGTACAACAGAAACGACGTTCCACCTCATGCAGCCTGGCCGCTGAGAGTGAAAGCCATGGTGAGCCGAGCAGACTTCACGAACATGCTGCACGACCAGTGCCGTAGGCTAGGAATCCCGATCACGTTTGGAGCCAACGTTGTTGATTACACCGAAAATGGGGATGCCGGTTTTGCGATTACAGACGATGGCCGTACATTTACCGCAGACATTATCGTGGCCGCAGATGGTTTAGGCACCAAGTCGCATAAAGTCATCATTGGTGAGAGCGTCAGAGCTTTGCCTACTGGATCCGTGGTCTTTCGCTCATTTTACCGTCCTGATCCTGAGAAAAGCCCGAATCTCTCAAAGCATTTGACACCATCACGTCCTGATTTGCGTCTATACTCAGGGTGAGCTTACGGATTCGTCCGCACCCCAACCATCCCAGTGCAAAGCTAACATCGGCCATTGTACAGCCGCGACTTTCATTGTCTTGTCAGTGCGAGCACGGATCACGTTTTGCTGGGAATTACTCTTCCCGTGAGTCCCTTGCCATCCAAATTGGTAGGACTACAACTTACTGACATTGAACAGCAAGCTGGAACAACGCCCCAGGAACAGTGGTCCTCCACTGTGTCCGTTGGAGACCTCATTTCCAGACTACCCGATATGGATAGGTGGGACCCGTTGATGAGAGAAGCAGTCCGAAGCATTCCAGGAAACAATGTTATCGAGTGGCAGCTTTGTTTCCGAGAGCCGCAGGCAAAGTGGACTACATCCAACGGCCGCATTATCCAAGCAGGAGATAGCGCCCATGCGTTCATTCCTACGTCAGGTTCAGGCGTCACAACCGCCCTTGAAGATGCTCTTTCTCTAGCGGAGTGTCTTCGCATGGCCGGTGGAGACCCTCGAGCGGGTGTCAAAGTACATGAATTATTGAGGTAAGTCCGCCGCCGAGTGCACATTTTATTCCCGAATCCTTGATCGCTAATTGTTACTTGTTTTGAAGGATCCGCCGCGTATCAGTCTTGCAGAGGCTCGGCTTCGTGAACCGCGGCGAACTGCACCGTGAAGGGGGTTTGGAAGCAACAGTACAAGAGATGGACGACAGGCAGCCTATGAGTCTTGGGAAGTGGATCTGGACGCACAATGCGGAGTCGTATGCGACCTCAAAGTTCGCCGAAGCGTATTCACATGTCAAAAGCGGTTCCAGCTTCACTGACGGAAACCTCCCGGTAGGATTTACTTGGCAACCTTGGAGTATGAAGTCTGAACTTGAAATGGAGAGGCGAGGTGAAAGGGTGTCTGACTTCAGGCAGAATGGAGATTGGGGAATATATTGACAGCTATTCTTAAATTGTCCCAGTGAGTAGCTGGAATCTGTAGGATAAATGTAGTAAGTTAGATTATTATATCAAACTTATCTCTTAGATTAGGAAGTTTCCGTTATGCTTTTCAAAAGAAAGGTTATATTTGACCATCTATGTAGCCCCCTCAATTTGCTACCTAGGCAAGCTGTCCCAATTAGGCGAGGGTCCATGCGAAGCGTGGTCGTGAAATCGCCGTGTTCGCTGCTGCGGATAGGCGGGGATTGGGTAGCTGCTCAGGAGGGCCCCGAGGTGGCGGAAAGATTTCACAGGCGAGGCGGGAGAATCAATCATGGGTGCTTGCGGCGATGATGGGTGACTGGGGCACCAATAAACCTCAGACGGGCATTCACTGCAGGCATCGACATGGCTGGTGGCGTTGGAAGTAACCAAGGTTGTAGCCACAGGAAGAATGTCCCCAGTTTCGTGGGGACTTTTTGAGAATATCCCTGATTTTCTACAAGAGACCATCTCTATGACACCAGGGGCATCTCTATGACACCAGGGGCATTCGCTCATTTAATCCACAGCCTCATGTCTTCACGACGACCTCAGTTTCATGGTCGACCCTAGTGTGATCGGCCCCGCTAATTTGATTCAGCCACACCCATTACGGTCGGGCCCTTAGCATTCATTGCGATCAGCCCCGATGGAATCGGACCCGGTCCCGCTATTTCCCCATGCCGTTCCGCCGCCGCCGCCGGCGCTATTACCATTTCGCCGATCAATTTGATCAGGGCCCGCGTTCGACCGTACGACCTCCAAATGAAGCTTCCGTACTACCTTTCTCGGCAGCAAGAGCGCAATACCCGCGCACTGGACGAATTTGTCGCAGTCCTCTCCCAGGGAGAACTACGTCGTAACTTCAAATTCCAACGAATTCCACTTTCCCCCTCGTTTCCGAAGTTATAGAAGGTATTACTCTGATCACAATGGAAGAGCTTGAGTGATGTGAACCTTCATGTTGGCCCCAGACACGTCTCCACCTAAGTTGACGAGCTTGATCCAAGCTCAGAGAATGGTCCGACGTCGTCAAGGTAATTGTGCGCATATCCAAAGCCCGAGTGAGACACATGTACAAATTCTGGGTCTCCAGAGCATCGAGCGACATAGCTCGTACATTTGCCTCTTTTTTATGTCATATCGTCTGGCGCATACAAAGGCACCTTGTGCCAGCGCCAGAAGAGCTTTCGCCGCGTTCATCTACAAGACCATCAAGAGTTGAGACCCCGATTCCGTGGTACATTTTGTCATGCACATGGAATACGTAGAATTCCTGCTCACATCTCAAGCCGTATGATAAAGAAAACCTTCAACGCAATGGGGAATTGCGCACTCTTCTGCTTCTTTCAACGAGGCGTCATTGAAGTGGAGGGTTGCAGGCTACGAAAACTGTTGCATTGTTTCTGCCCTGCCCCTCGAGTAGTCTTGCTTCAGCCTTCATCTCGAAAACAGATGGAGATACCTACAGCCCCGCCCCTCGGAACGCTGGACTTTGCAACCGGGCTGCACACTTCGGCCACAAGTACTCCAATAGTGGACATGCTATTGAGCAGTGTCACATCCATGATGGTGTTTGGGTCCTCACTCGTGGCCCCGAGAATCCCGAATGGGTTAGGTCTTCTTTTGCGGGCTGCTGCGACAGTTCTCGCAGAGAACATACTCCCGGCGTCAGAATCAGACGGCACGCCCCTCACCAGGTGGAATTAAGTGACTTAGTCAACTCGTCCATGGTGTTCTAAGTGGACACACAACACGACCGCGGTTGCATAAGACATCACAACGCCCGTGAGGCTAGCCCAAATACGCTGTGGTATCAGCATATCACTAGTCGACGCTTCTACAGGTAGCTCATTGGCGCTCAAACGAGCAAGTACTGAGGTTTCCAGATGAATGCCGTTCATTTTGAAGCTTGGATCAAATTGCATGTTTTGCATTGGAGGAAGCTAACTTCGCCCCGCTGATCATTGAGAGACCACCGATAAAAGAGTACAGGAAGTCTTCGAGCTGAGAGGCCAGCTTATCGTGAAAGCTTGCATACCACTGCAAAGGCTTCATAAGACATGTGGTCTCTTGATTTCCCCTCACCTCTCGAAGGATTACAGCGTCGATTTCGAGACAGACGTGGTCCATGGTTGAGCTGAACAGTGCCACACCCACTTCTGGCGTACACGCGAGTTGGAAACCAAATGTAAAGCGGCCAGTATATCACTCTTTCTTGCGTCGACTACTTCAACTGCCGTGGTAAGATCCGCCCTGGTACGCAGGCCTCGGAGGTGACACTTTGTTGCCACACCAGTGGAACCAGTCTCGTCCACCATATTACTTATTCTATCAGCATTAACCATGAAGTGTCTGCGTAACTCTGTGGGAACTGCATGGTACGAGGGTTTCAGATACATGCTGTTGACGACCTGTCCACTTCAGTCGGCAAATCTTTCATCTCTTCGCCCTCTGAGAGATCCGTCTTGTATCCATGTAGGCCTAAGTCCATAGAACTGTCTCAAATGACAGCCTCGAGGCAGTTCCTTTTGCTACTTTCAGGTCCAATGTCACCACGTACAGGCCGAGCCCAGAAGTCCTCTGCTTCTGTGGAGCACAGCCACCATGGAGAGTGATGTGTGATATGCGCTCCGTCGGTTCTTCATCAGACTTGAGTAGTCAATTGGTCCGAAGCAAGGCATGCGCTCCATTGGGGCTCTCAACTTCCCGTCTGTCCCAGGCGCGGGCAAATGTGGTGAAGGTGCGAAAGGTTGTCTCGGAATCACCAGGACGATGACGGAACAACTTGCTGTGCACGTTTTTGATGACTTCGAGACAAGGAGTGAGCACGGGGCGAGAGCAGTCAAGTTTCAGTCCCTTCGTCAATCTGACGTGAGAAAATAAATGAATAACTGTATTCACATAGGTATATGCAAAGATTCGGAAAGGACAGAACTCTCTTGTTCGTTGTAGACTTATGAAACCAATCTCTGCTAATGTAATACATACTTGCTAGACGTCTGGTCGCGTCCCAACAAAAATGTGGCAGGGGTCTTCTCGGATTCATCCTCTATTCGTCAATCTCCTCATCATCCAAATTACCACTGGCGATCTCTCTGCCCTTTCCCTTCTCGTCTGGCAGTGACATACCAAGCTCCGCCGTTAGTGCGAGGGTTTTAGACACCTCTTCAGCTAGCTCAGACACCGGCTCTGGCTTGGACATAAGATTCCAAAACTCAATTGCCTTTTCATCCTCCATTACCCCAGCCTGTCGGGATAAGGCATACAAAGTCGAGTCCTTTAAGTAACCTCCCGGGCTCATCCAAAGTCTTTTTGCGATATCTCCAGCCTTATGTCTGTCTTGAGCTGCTCCAGGAGCTTCCCCACGCTGGCGCCGCAGCATGGTCATGACAAATTTGAAATACAAGTATCGTTTTAAAGGCCGAAGACTTGTCTTGAACTGTAGTTCTAGGCCGTCTAGTGCCTTGCCCCAGGGCCTGTTAATCGCGGCTTTCTCATCCAGTAGACTTCTGTCAAGGACCACAATCTTGAGTGTCTCGTCTTCTGAGCCATCGTCTCTGAGCTTCGGTACTATGACAAATCTTCCAGCATCCCAGGCTTCCTCGTACTCCTCGAGCATCAGGATACCGTTCTTCTTGGACCAAATGTGGCTTTTCTCATATTCTGGCGTTCCGAACAGGGCGAATGCGACATTGTCACCAACGTTGACTTTAACAATATGTCCGGCGGTCAATGCAATTGCTGGCCAAAAGGCTTTTGAAATTGGGCACCAAAGTGATTTCCCATCGGACGAAAGAGAGCCTGATGCTTCTATAAGAGCTTTTCTGAACTGAGGCCGGCGAGCATCGGAATTTGTGGGTTTTACCGATTTAATAGCGCCGTGAACAGGCAAATATCTTGAGATCAGGAGATCGATATAACTCCAGTCCCGACTGCGGGCAGCTTGAACTTCTTGTTGGAATAAAGATATGTCGGTAAGTTCACCAACAATCTTGTTCTTCTCAGAACGCAACGTCGCCACTTCTCCAAGGATTGAGTTCAGATCCCGCTCAGATTCCTCTAGGAGTTCGTAGTATTTTCCGTTAGGAATTTCGAGACTTCCTTCGTTCCAACTCTTTCTCAACACTGACGACCTCTCTCTCGCACACTCCAGCTCAGCTTCTTTCAGATTCACAAAAGAGTCAATCGTCTCAGTTGCTGCTTCAAATCTTGCTTTCTTGTCTGCAGTGTTCTCTACACCCGCCATTTCACTAAACGATCGCTTTTTATCGTTATAGCTTTGTCGATAGCTGGCTAAGCCATTCTTCAAATCAGGGTTTTTTGAGAGCGATGCGTCGACTTCAGGCCTCAGAAGCCCAGGTGTAGTGCGAAATGCAGCTGGACGCTCCATTGGCGAAGGTGCAAGTTTTGATGGGTTTGCTCTGTTACCCTTGCGATTTTGCGAAATAGAAGAAGATGTATCATCTGTGCTCTTCATGTCTTTGTTTGACCGACCCATGTTTACTTTTGAATCGAATACCACAATGAGTAAAACAACAAGGGCAAAGTATTCAAGAGCTTTGTAAATGTTGGAAACGGGAGCAGAAGAAGAGTTGTTCAAAGAAAAGACTGGGGGAAAACGAAATGTGGGTTGATTATCATCTACGTTGATTTAAGTCTTAAACCTTCTCCCACCGAACATAACCTTTCTGTCCCCCTGGTGTATGATAAATTCGCCCCAACATCACTTGGTACGGAAAGTGACCGCAATAGAGTTCAGCATTGTGCGCAATGGATACAAATATGCAAGCGGGCTTATCTATACATTATATTTACTTTGCCCTGAAGCTTCTTCTCGCCTTACTGAAGACGAAAAGTTCAACCAGCGCCGAAGGTCGATGCCGGAAAGACCGAAGGATTTGAATTGGTGGATCTCCTTTGCTATCAGGTGAGTCCCAAACGAACCATCTCCGATAGGTTGCACCTTACCTGCC